GAAGAAGTCTTCTCTCTTCTTTATTTTCATCTTTTTTTTTTTTTTTGTTAGCAGAAACATTCTCCACGTATGAAGATAAAGCATAATTACATGCATGTAGGGAGAGAAAAAGAGAGAGATAATTGGGTTTGCTTTAAATCATCAGGACTTGGGGGAACGGGAGATGAAGAGAGCTGATTTCTGTGTTTGATTAAGGACGCTCTTAGATTGTGTGTGTGTGTGTGAGAGAGAGAGAGAGAGAGAGGGAGAGAGGGCAAAATAATGTGGCTTTGAAAATCTGTCTCAGTTTTGTGTACTTGTGGCTGAAATTCATTCTTCATGATCCCCAATGTGATTAATGGATGTGAATATGTACCAAGTCAATCCCAATTGTGTGTTTTTGGTTGCATCTCTAGTCGATTTTTGTTTAGATTTAATCCAATTCGAAAGTCCAATTAGTCATATATGATGTTGAAATTTTTTACCATGTTTCATGAGTACCAAGATTGAATTTTCAATTTTGAACGAAACTGAGTTGGATAGAGCAAATAAAATTTGTCAAATGCATGAATTATATTCAAGTGAAAGTTTTAACTCGCATCAAATTTAAATCAATTCAAATTTAATCTATTGGCATGTCCACTTATGGGATGATGTAGCAAAATTCTCGGTGTTCATGTACACCATTCGAATTATTCGTCAATACACTTGAGATCAATTTAGTGTTACAATCTTAGTTAAGGGTAATACTGTTAAGTATATATAATTTTAATTTTTTATAGATATTATCCCAAATATACTTTCATATATAAATGCACTTTTTAATTCAAAAGTAATATTTAAACGTACATTCACCAACAACTATAATGTTTTAAAGGTACATCCTGCAATGTCCATCTTATAATGTCCTCCTTAAAATGGACTTTTTACTTTCAGAAGCTACATCAAAAGCAACAGAAATTGCAGCCAGGGTACATGATTTCATGGATCAAGGAAAATTGAAATTATGTATCATTAGGTTATTGCCTTCATAACAATGCTGAAATACTTCCTACTTCTGAAATGATATATCTGGACTTTAATAATTGCTTTTTCAGGAGATCTGCAAATATTAGTACTCATTATCCAATGAATTGGTGACACAAGTTTATTTATCTATGTATAGGTATATAATGTTCATGCTGGCATGACTCCTTGCTTGGTAATCTTTGCTTTTGGGCTTGCTGTATAATTTTCCTGCTTGTTGGAGGAGAAATATCAGATGCATTGTGTGCCTTATTTCTTTATTAGGTTTTGTTTCACCTTTTCTGCTTTATTGATGGGGTTCATTAGGTTAATTTTCCTCCCAGGCTTTTTGATTTTTTTTTTCATATTGGTCATTTAATCCAGGTTCTAGCATAGGTTGTTTGCTTGGGACATGGACACATGTTTTTCTAGTGCTAAACAGTTAATTTGATGTTTTGTTTTGGAAATATTGTTTTCATTCTACAAACTTAAAGTAGAAAAAGCTTTACAAAGAGAACTCTGAAGGAAAACATTTTTCAGGAAGAGGATAAATTGCCTTGTTGGTTTTTTTTATTCTGGTTGTGCCCCCCTCCCCCCAACCAAAACCATAAAAAGACGCATACACAAAAAAAAAAAGAAAGAAAATTTACATTGCAATGAGAAAATATGAAATTTTGTGTCTTGTCAGTAGACATGTAGATGTGTATGTTGTGCTTCTTACTACATTTTACTCTTGAGATAGAACTGGGGTTCTCTGTTTTTGTAGTTAGAATTTTGCCAAATAACCTTGATTTTATGGTTCAAACTTTGATGGCAGCCATCTTGTGCATATAATATCAAAGAATAGGTTTATATCAAATCTAACCCTCCCAGCCCTCCAGTATTGGGATATAAACAGGCACCCTCACAAGTTGTCTATGGGTTGGTCACTGTCATGGTTCCTTTGGAGCTCTTGTGAGATTTGGCCAAGGAAACGCTTGACATGCTCCAAAGTTCAACTAGTTCATTCATTATTTGCATCCATATGTGGCATCGAGTATTACATGACATGTTGTTTTGCCATAAAATGGATTTGAAGTTTGGCTGTGCCTAACTACATCAATGGTGTACACTAAACACTAGAATGGCCGCTAATTCAGGTGTGGAAATCTGTTTCTAATTTGTGCAAAGTGAAAGCCTGTTATAGAGCATACTCTTTTCAGTTTTTATATGGGAATTGGACTATGGAACTCAAGAAATATGTTATCTAATAAAGTTGGTAGATTCACGGTCCTCTCTTCACATGTAAATGATGTGTTTGTCATAAGAAAGTTGGGTGTCTTGCCAATATAAAACTTGTATGTGCAGGGTTGATTAATTTCATAGCGCATTACCCTGTGTGCCTTTTTTCCCCTTTTGTTCTACTTCTTGTTTTGTCAGGATGAGTAGATGATATGTGTGGATGGCATTCCAAATGGGTCCTAAAGGAATGACATTGCAAATTTGTTTTTTGTTCCTTAAAATTTGGTACATTGCTCTGTGGCGATGTTTGAACAGGGGACGACCATGAGGCATAAACCAAAGTGGAGCTGCTACATTTTTTTGTTCTTCACCACTGTTGAGTTGATATCTAGTTATCAACTTTGTATGTAATTTGATGATTATGAATAGTTGGAAAGTCGATCAGACCAGGTTGTGGATGCAGATCAGGCTAAATGGCTATGGTGGTTCCTTTATAAATAGGTCGTTAGTGCAGCTTGCCCAACAGTGGTTAGAAGATTTTGCCGTGCAACACCTTGATACTATTGAGCCTTGCCACTATTATTAAGATATCAAAAGCATGCTCTATTGAACCCATGGTTTAAATGTTTGATCGGGTTGGATTGGATTGAATTGGATTTTATATTTCTGATTTCGCGTCTTATTATTCATTTAGACTATGAGGCTCGTTCTCGTTCTTGATGATGTTTAGGTCAAGGTTTGACTTGATCATCCGATTCATCATATTTCTTGATAATTGTGAATGATATTTCTTTAAGTGTCTTTGAATTGATAGTTGAGATAATGCCCTTAAATAACATTTGAGCCCAACACGTACGAAGTGTACGAGATGTTTGAAGACAGGCTTACGTTGTAAGGGAAGACTAAGACAAACCGATTCCCTGGTTTGAATCAAATATTTTTTCCTGTTTACCAAGTTAAAAGTAGAAAGTAGGTCTGCAGCCATAACCACTCAGGAGGGTAACAATATTTAACTCTATGGTTAGGCCTTTTTGAGAATAATTGTAATATATTTATATCTGATTTGATTATGATTCAATTTAAAATATGTACATATTTTTATAAAAATATTAAAAAAATTAAGTAATTATTTGAAAAAATTTGATTTAATTTTAGTAAAATTAAGTTATTTTGATAATATTGAAATTGAATTTTTGCACGGAATTTTGAACTGTTAATGGATTAAGATATGAACTATAAAATTAAAACAGAAGTCGGTACAAAAATTTGGATTGAATTGAGATAAAGTAAAATAAGGAAAGTTACTTGGGTAAAAGTGTATTTTTTAAGAAAATAACCAAAAGGTTATTCGTTAAAAGGAAAGATATTAAACCCCATTTGGATGTCAAACGACAATCTTGGCTTCAGTAAGGAATCAAGTGACAAAAAAAAAAAAAAAGAAGCATTAAATTGAGGGTCTCTTCGGCTTTGGTATTTTTAAGATTCGAATGGATTTATGAACAGATTCTGAAGATAATATTGGGAAATAATCATTTCAAGCCCTATTGAGGATCAAAAAGGGTTTTTTTTTAAAGAAAGGATGAAGAATAAAAAATACTATTTTTGTAATTGTTTGGTATTTTGGTTTGGTGTAACTATTCCTTATTGTTGGAATCCTCTTCTCTAGACATTGAAGTTCAACTTCAAGGTTTTAGCCCCGATTTTTAGTAGTTAGTTTTCAAATTCTTTGTTTTTTTTTTTTTGCAATTTTTGCTCAGAAGAACCTAAACTAAAATTAAAAAACATTAACAATTTCAAATGAAAATAACAAAGTTGAATTCTTTTATGTTGAATGAATATATAAAAAATTTAAAATTTAAAAAAAACACAAATTTTAAGTAGTTATACTAATTTTTTGTTTGTTGTAATAGTGTGGAGTAAATCTATGAGATTCAAAACGTTTGATTTGTATATCTATTTTGAATAACTGTTTGATGTTACAATCGACATTTGCATTGCTTGACAATACAAGTTTCTTTGTCTTTTATTTTTTAGTTCAATTTTTCATTTGATAATATTTAAACTCATATTTTGTGAAATGAAAATAGTAAAATCTGAATTATTTGGTATAACTCTTTTGATACATATTTGTTATAATTCTTTGATAACTTTATTGTGTAACTATTTGGTGTAAAAATTTAACTTCAAGTAGGTGATGGTAATCAAAATTTTCCATTTCTCTTTTAGAGAAATCCTCAATTGATTAAGAAAATAGACTTTGAAAGTAAACAAAAATAAATTAAGAAAATACCACAAACCAGAGAAGTGAAATCGTCAAGTTGGATGTTGAAGGAAATTGCTAGAAAGCCAAACGTTGATATCTGATCGTTGGAGGAAGCGGTTGCAGGCGAAGACTGAATACAAAACATAGTTCAAAATTCAAAAGAATAGTAATATCTAATAAAGTCTTTATATATTTAATTAGATACATATATATTTATCAATTTTATAGAATTTAAGAAAGAGTAAGTAAGTAAAATAAATAAAAATTTATTTGAATTTTAAATTTAATCACAAGATATTTTATTAAAATTAAACTTAATAGAGTAAACAACTTATTTATATACTTTCTCTTAAAAATCTTAAATTTTTTTGTATAATTGGATTCGAATTCGGATCACTGATTCGTGGACATGCCTAAATGGCTTTGACCACCTGTCCCGAAGCCCAGCCCAAAGAGCATCAACAAGCCCACTGTACTCTCTGCTTCAAATTCTATTTCGAAAATTCAATAGGGTCCCACAACAGCTGTTGGGGGCGACGTGATCGAAAGCAAACTGATCTACACCATAAAACCGATTACCAACTCTTCCCCTTTCCCTGTTCCTTCTATGGTGCAGTGATTACTCTTCCAATAACCCGCCTACTTTGTGTGTCAGTTCTTCGGAAGCCTCGAGAGAAATTGGGCTACCCACCAACTGTGAGTAAGCTGGTGAACAATGTTTATGGTGAGGCAAGCTCCTCCTCTTCCTCTTCCTGGCGGAGCTTTATCTATAGAGAGATGTGCCCTTAACTCTGCCCTTCAATTCATCCACCAAAACCCACAACCCCTATTGTCCAACCGCAGACCTCCCAAATTCCAATCCACAAACACCTCTCGCACGACAAAGAGGCGTTGCCCCAAGCCTCTCACCGTCGCTAATGCCAAAGCCAGTGGTGGTCCTACTGCTCCTACCAGATATAACCCCATAACTTCTAATAACGCCGATGATGCGGTATCTGTTGTTGGTGAAGAGAGCGTCCCTCTCGAAGGTGTTATTCAGTTCGAAAAACCCAATTCCTCTAACCTTCTCAACAAATGGGGGTAATGTGTATCTATCAATTTCCTCTCACTCAATCTCTCCTTCTAGCTGTGTGTGCATATTTGGATTTGTACGTATATGAGAATTTGTGGTCTTGGTGGTTGTGTTTCAGTCGTGTGGCTTTACTTGCTGGTGGGGATGTACTGGCTTTGCTTTTGTTCTCTGCTTTCGGAAGGTTCAGTCATGGGTTCTCTGTTTTTGATACCGAAACCTTACGCACCGCTGACCCTTTTATTGCTGGTATGTCTATTTTCCTTACTGGCTACTATTGCTTTTTCTTTCATTATTCTTGCATAAATTAGAGATCAATGGATTGAGAATATCGATTTTGGGGTGGTTTTTGGCAATTTGCAGGATGGTTTCTGAGTGCTTACTTCCTCGGTGGTTACGGGGAGGATGGCCGAGGAATGAATGGTCAGTCCAGTGCTGTTATTGCTGCTGCCAAATCATGGTCTTTGGGTATTCCTGTAAGCTCTCATTATTATTCCTTTATGGTTTCTTATTTACTTTGTTTTGTTGATTTATTGGATGAATCAATTTTAAGTAGTAGTAGTAGTAGTAAAGGATTTGATATGCACTCTTTGGTTCACTTATTTTGGATTATATATGTGTTTTGAAATGTCATTTTGAAATATTGATGAGATGCATGACCTATTAAATTAGACATTACACTGGCAAATATTGATCAAATAGATTAATTATATTTGCAGTGATTGTAACTGACACAGTTTAATATCAAAGTAAATCATAATTTGTTACAATTAATTTGTCTATAGTCATAAGGCCATTATCTGAGTTTTTTCCGATTAACCGAAGAGTATTGGGATGGGTGGATTTGTTACTATTGTATTATATTTATAATGCTCAAGTGGCTGAATTTTGAACTGTTTCCTTGCTCGATTGAATCGGCTTTCTTGAGGAGCCTATGCATGATGAATAGCCTCATATGGCTAGGCAGCACTACACATAAAATTTGTTGTAAGTTTTGATGATTCGAGAAGGATTCCCATTTGGTGGATTCTACACATCGAAGTCATCATAAAATTGAATCAACAGTTACCCAGTTTTCTGAAATTGCTTTTTTTTCTCCTTGGGGGTTATGATTCGGAGGATAGATGGATTGTTGTTTAAAAGGTTATGGAGACAAGGCCTGTTGATTGTGGAATTTGACATGAGACTTCATTGAAAATTGAACTTGAGTGACAACAAAATAAAAGGTTGAAGGGAATGGGGGTCCAACGAGGAGAAGGGCTATGTAGTGACATGAGAATGTCATTATTCTTTCATTTTTAGAAGATAAGCCAACTCCTTTGCTAGGCACATGGCTACGAGGCTGTGCTGTTATTGACTTTCATCTTGCTTTGACTTTTCCATTTCATGCAACTTTTATCCTTTTTTGCACCAAGAACTTTGACAAGGTCAATCGTACAAAAAAGAAAACTAGTAGGGGAAGTTTTGGCTAAATATCCAAAACGAAATCTTGATCATGTCATAAACTACTACTCTATGGGAGATCATTATGTTAGGTTGCCATGTCAAATGATATTTGCTGGTGTCAATCACCTAATTTTTGTGCCAGTGACCTTGTTTCATTATGAAGCTTTGGTAGCAGTGTTGTCTTGGAAGTGATATCCCAGGAAATGGTGAAGTTAGAGCGAGAAGCATACACATTAAGAATTACAAATGGATCTAGGAACTCATTGAGCTTGATTATCACATCTTGAGAACGTGAAAATTTTGATATGAAGCATTAGACTTTGACTCTTTCATCTCATGTTTGCAAGTGTTTGCATGTCTTGCTTTACTTTGTCTCTCTATGTTCTCTCCAATTGTTTTAGGTGTTGCATATCTATGAACTCCACCTTTGATCTGTTTCCCTTTACCGGCAGTTGGGTATATTCATCAGGGCCACAACATTGGGCCATATTCCACCAACCAACTTTATCCTAGTTACCATGGGAAGCACTGCTATATTACTCATCGGATGGAGAGCACTGTTGTTTAGCATTTTCCCTAATGATAAGAGCAAGAAGGATGATATGTACAAGCATGGCAGCCCATTTGAACTGTTTGAGGTATGTATCTTTTTAAGCATCTGAAATTCTGGGTAGATTGATGTTACTTTATAGGTTCTTACAGAAGATCATGTAGCAAAGAATGCATATGACACATTTGCGCTGCACATTCTTTGATATGATGTACAGATTAGCTTCCATGAGATTGTGGGCCATCTCTTTTATGCTTCTAAAATATCCAACATGCCAGGGAATTTGTTTTATGAGCCTCTGGTTTTTGTCTTCTTCGGTTATGGACTATGTATGCATGAAAACTTCAAAATGCACAGAAAATCTTATGAGACATCCCTTCTGCACAAGAAGTAAATTTTTGATTAATTTCGTGGAAGGTGTAGCTTACGACTGAACTTTCCGACATTTGCTATGTAATCTAATTTTTTCATTGACACTGTTGTTCTACCAGCATCTAAATGGAGCACTAGACACGAGGAGTTTTTCTAGATCATATTTACCAGTTGTTAAGCATTTTCAATCAAATAACTGAAAAATGCAAGTCTCAGTTACTTTGTCAAAATCTCCTGAGTTCTTTTATTTCTATGCTGGTATAGGAATTGGCATTATAGATCTAGGCAACAGATGTCTCTCTAGGTCGCTGCTTAGGATTTGGCATTATCTACTCTGCAGAAAATACTTAGGAACTGATTCCTAATATAGCTCAATTTTCTTTTTCTTTTTCTTTTTCTCAGTTGCTCACGTCATTGGTACGAAGATGGTGATGATGATTGCCTCTATGATGTGTTTGTATAATGATGTTCTCCTTTGTTAATTTTCCAATGTACCTCTTTGGATATCCTCATATGTATCAGCAACAGAAGTAAAAGCAGAAGTGGCAGGTGAAAATTGTAAGAGGTAGTTATTTTTCCAATTTATAAGATTTGAAGTTACTAAACCTGAGTGCTAGATTAGCTGATTTTGTACAAAATTATGTTTCCTCTGTCCTCTATTCTAAAGGATATTAACTAAATTCTAATCTGAAGAGACATAGTTCTACACCCAACTTGATTTCATCTAACTTCCTGACTCATTTGTCCATTTAAGAGCTTATATATGCCTATCTGTCCTGGGGCATTGGAGAACAATGTCGTTGTTGTTGCATCACGTGCTGTGTTAAAGGTGGTTTTGGGATTGTCTTGTTATAATGCTTTTTAGGCCTTTCTGGAACTTCTCAAGTTCAAAGGAATGACAGAAAAGCTGATATTGGTGGATACTATTCAAATTTCTATTGGGAAGGAGTCCATATTGGCTAAGTTCACAACTAATCTCAGAGCAGAAATAGTCGAAGGTAGCAGTGTAGCTACAGGTAGTATGGCATAAGTAAGTGATATATTCTTCTGAGGAATGATAAAGTGGTTCTATTGATTTAGCGTGGAATTGCTCAGAACTGAACTATTTCCAACCATATCTTTAGACAATTTTGGTCAAGCTTGATAATGTGAATTGAATCTTGCCATGAAGTGAGTGCATCAAAGAAACTGGCAATGGTTCGGTTGCAACTCAGACGAGTTTGGTTGAAGCATTCCTGTCTAGGTGATATTATAGAGCCAATAAAAACATGCTTGGGACTTGCGTTAAAGCTGGAATAACAGTAGAGATATGACTACCTGTGAGAATGTTATTGTATTAAAAGGTTATGGAGTTCATCCCAGAGAAGATATTCAGATTATCGTCCTCTTTTGCAAAGTATACGATTTTTCTAGAATGGCCATTGCATATAGTGACACCAGTTTGATGGATATATGGTTTAGAGGACTGATCTTGTTATTGAGACTTGGAGTGCACAAATTTAAATCTTCTGATGCAAGTTGATAGAAAGTGTACAAAATGAAAGATAAAATTTGTCTTAGCCGTGTCACAGTTGTCTATTGAAGGGAATTTTATGTGAAATCCCATTGTTTGATATTTCTGTAACTCTCGAGGACAAAAGGTGTTATGCCATCCATGGAAATTCAAGAAAAGTGTTGGGAAAGTCTTGAAGTGTGCGATCATTTGTTGCCTATTAGAAAGGTCATTTATATGTCCATTTCCTTCTCGTATTGGCATTTTGAAGGTATGATACATTTTTAATAAAAACTTTTTATGGTGGTGGTAGAGCTTTGGTTGCAAGATGAGGAAGGTTTTCACCTGAATAAAGTTAATTTTAAGTCCTTCAAGGCAAATATTGTAATCCTGAAACAGTCAGTGGATGCTAACTCTGGACAGTTTTATTCATGTTTAGGAGGGATATTGTTGGATTTGCAGAAATGGTATGAAGGTGCATTAAAAAAAGCTATGGCAATAGATAGAGCAATTTTGAGGTTTTGAATTGTTGCAGCTATGATTGGAGATTGCTATGGATATGCTAACTACGAATGTCCCAGAGTTTGCGGATGGCTAAGTGCTGATTACAACTATCACGGCGTTAAAAATAAAAAATAAAATAAAAAATAAAAAAACTATCACGGCGTTGCAATCAAAGGCTGTATTTAGCAATTTACTTGCAAGTCTTGAATCCTTTATACTTATTCTAGTTGAAAGTTATAATATCACAAGTAGATTAATCTGTCATTGATCATTAAGGCACACCCTTCAGTGGATAATCTGGGGTTCATGTAAGATATTAGAATCACTGAAGTATCCATCCCCTGTTTTGAGTTAATTTTGTGGAGTGGATATAGAACACAGTTCTTATTTCATAGGCGGAGGGTTTCTTCAATGGGATGGGTGCATGGAAATCTGTCAGCCTTCGGCTATAAAAGAATTCCCTTCAGCCAAACAGAGCTCGAGTTCATCCACAAGTCTCTCGTCTGTGACCAAACAAACATAACAAAACTTGCTCCACTTTTTATCCAATAAAATTGCAATATGTGTAAATTTTTTACTTTATTATTTATTAATTTTTGTTATCTTTACAATTAGGGGGATTACATTCAGGCCCTGAAATTTTGTACGCGCGTAACACTTAGAATCCCTGCTGTAAATATATCTATATAATAAAGTAGCTTACAATTTAAATCTCAAAAGATAAATAAAATAATTTTTGTTATTCGCGGTTTAAATCGTTTTAAATTTTATTTTAAAGTTAATCTAATGACTAATATTAACACTTTAAATTTAATAGGAAAAATAGGGCTCTAAGGGTGTATTTGAAGTGATTTTTTAAAAGTATTTCTACAACTTATTTTTCATAAGTACTTTAAAAAAAAAAGTATTTGAAACCGTTCTACTATTACCGCCACTAATACCACCACTACCATCGCCACTACCACCACCCACACTGTCGCCACTGTTACCACCACTGTCTTCGCCACCACGACTGCCATCTTTGCCACCACCATCGTCGTCGTCGCCACCATTACCGTTGCCACCGTTACCACCACCACCATCATTGCTGTCATCGTCGTTGCCACCATTACCACCACCACCGCCGTCGCCATCTACCACCAGCACTGTCGCCACCGCCACCGCCACCAGCACTGTCATCACAGTCATTGCCACCCACCACAACATCACTGCCTCCTACCACCTCCACTACCGCCCACCACCTCTCACCCCACTACAACTTATGCTTAAATTCATTTATCTCTCCTTTATATTTTTTGATTTGATTTGGATATAAATAGAAATATGTTTATTATTTATTATTTTTTTATTTCTCTATACTTTCAGGCACAGACAATAACTAGTCTATATAATAAAGTAACTTACAATTCAAATCTTAAAAGATAAACAAAATAATTTTTGTTATTCGCGGTTGAAATCACTTTAAATTTTACTTTAAAATTAATCTAATGGTTAATATTAACATTCTAAATTTAATTGAAAAAATAGGTCCCTAAGAGTATATTTAGAGTGACTTTTTTAAGTACTTTTAAAAATAATTTTTCATAAATATTTTTAAAAAAATAGTGTTTGAAATCGCCCCACCATTACCTCTACCACCACCACTGTCGTTACTGTCGTCGCTGCCACCGCTATCACCATTGCCATCGCTGCCACCACCACCACAACACAAACCACCACTAGTGCCCTCATCGCCACTCCCACTGCCACCATCACCACTGCCATTACTGCCCCACCGTCGCCCCTACTGTCACCGTCACTGCCACTGCCACTGCCACGGCCACCCCATCGTCACCACCACCAGTATCGCCACCACCAGCACCTCTACCACCACTGTCATCCCCACCACCACCACCATTGTCATCGCCGCCACCACGGTTATCGTCTCCCACCACAACTAACATCGTCTCCTACCACCACCGTTGTCACCTACCACCTCTCACCTTCACTACAAATTGATGTTTAAATTTATTTATCTCTTCTCTATGTTTGTGATTTGATTTTGAATATGAATACAAATATGTTTATTATTTATCATTTTTTATTACTCTGTTCTTTCAGGCACAGATAATAACTAGTCCATTAATAAATTACACTTAAAATCCTTTAAAGTTTGTAAGTATATAATAATTAGATTCCTTAAGTTTAAAATATTATATTTAGACAAAAAATATTCCAATTAAAGATAAAATATTAAATATTTTAAATTTTACAACTAAAATTCTTATGTTATTGTATCATTTATTAAAATTAAATTAAATTAATTTTTTTCTTAAAAAATTGTAATTAATATACAAAGATACTATCTATTTGAATAAAACAAAAAAAATCAAATAAGGTGTCTAAGTCATTCATAATATAACATATATTTTTCATCTAAAATTTATGTTCTATTATATCATTTATTGAAATAAAATCAAAAATCAAAAATTAATTTTTTTTAAAAATCATAATTAATATATAATTATATTATCTATTAGAATAAAACTAAAAAATTAAATAAGGAGTCAAATTGTAATAGACACAATATCTTTTAACTTTAATTGAGATAGTTTGGTATTTTAATTTGGTCGTTTGAACGACTAAGTTAAATTCCAATAGACAATATAATTATATAATAATTACGATTTTTTTTTTAAATAAAATTTTATTTTTGATTTTATTTCAATAAAAGATAAACAGAACATAATTTTAATCGTAAAATTTAAAATATTTGATATTTTATCTTTAATTGAAGTATTTTTAGTCTAATTATAACATTTTAAATTTAAAGGATCTAAATAATATATGTTTACAAACTTCAGAAGATCTGGTTGTAGTTTATTAACGAATATATTTATAGTAGGAATCTAAATATTATATGCGTATAAACTTTAAATAATTTATGTATAATATTTTAAATATTAAAAAATTTAAAAGATTAAGAGGTAAACTTCAGAAAAACTTATGTGTAATTCTCGCTCACAATTACTAACCAGAAACAATCGGACAAAATATACGATGTTAGATCAATTTTAATATAGTATTCTTTAATTTTTTTCTGGGTACTGCAGAGTTAATCTCCAGTATAAAGAACTACAACTTGAAAGGAGATGTTTGGCCTAGGTCGGCTTGTAGCTATATGGTCCAGTCTGTATTGCTGAAGCTGTGTCATTGAGCCGTCAAGCAATTGCCAATTTGGAGATAGATGAGAGGCAAATCCCATCATAGGGATCATGTCACAGCCAAGATGGTATAGTATGACTTTTCTCCAATGCCGCCCATCAATCCTTGTTTGAGCATGATAGGTACTTTCCTTGATCATGTGGTCATCGAAAATCTCATCAAATAATCATCATCCGATCATTTTACTAGGCTACCCCAGGTTCAAGTGTTCTAGCAAGAACCATCCCTGATTAATTATACAGACACCCTATAATTATCCCCAGTGATCTAATTTCCAAAGATATTTGTCTCGTAATATATGTGCCCTTCGCGTGATTGAATACGTAATATGCGTGTCACTGAGTTGAGTACATACAACTCAAGTGAACTCTAGGAAATCTTGTAAGACTCAGAAGTTTTCTATGTTCTCACATGTGGTGGTTTGGTTTCCTCATAGGTGTTGGGGACATGGTCATCCATCCTCAATCTCCTTTGTAGGAAGGAGTCTTCAAGTGGTTTTGTTCTAATAT